GCCCATATAATTGTTGTTTTGCATTAGCTAAACAAAACAACAGTGAATCTTTGTAAGTGAGAAACACAAAGGATTAAGCAGTTGTTAAATCGCAGTTAAAACCACCCGATGATATAAGCGCCAGCAATAAGTAGGTATTCGTTCTGTAGAAGTGTAAACTAGAAATTAACGAGAAGTACGAAGGCCAGTCATGTGAACCCCCTAACTGTTGACTGTAAAATGAATTGCTGTAAGTGTGACAATCACTGCTGGTGAGCTAATGAACAGCAATACAAACCTGACAGCTAAAAACACGAATGGCGAGAGCTTAAGATGCGTCCTAGGCAGAAATTAAAGCCGCGCCCTTTCTCACTCTGGACCCCCCGAGTACTTGGCGCCCTAGGCAACCGTCTAGGTTGCCTACCCCTAACGCCAGACTTAGCTGAAAATTAATATCAAAGACAGAGATTCTATTTTATTTGTTCGTTCCGATATCTTGATTAATGTCTTGATAATCCATAATGGAGAGAAAAGGATTCCACATAACTGAGGAATTGTTGGATTCCCACGCAATGCTCATTAACAGGTACTTTCTTGTTAGGGTAAGAAACAGTGGAATAAAATCTGTAATAACTGGTGCATGTGAATATATAAGATTTGAATATGATTTATAGTATACTAAATATTGCGTACACACAAAGGAAGAAAATGTGATATAAGGAGAAGTGGGGTAAATGTGCGTCAAGAAAACCGTCAGGACAGCATAAGATAACACTAATGGAACAGGAATCACTTCCTTCCCTCTGTATTTAGTAACGTTTGGATTTCTGAACTTAGAATGGTGTAATACACAGGAACAAAACACTCTCAATATGTGGCCCTTATGTTGTCACCTATAAAAATGTTTATCTTAATACACCGGCATTTTACCATAGTGATACGTTTGTTTGGTAACCGTAGTTCAAAGGTGTTGGAGAGTGAAAAACATTTCACTTATCCACTTCCCCACTTACGTTACCTTTTGCCCAAAGGTAATTTTGAAAAAAAATGCTTTGTCTATTTATCGACACTTGACAACAGCAAACATAAAGATGCCTACAGATCATTCTAGAGCCCAGTCAAAAAATTTCCCCTGCTCTTTATTCACACTTAGCGAAAACGGTGAGTGTTATAAAATGAACCTCTTAGTAAAAAATTCGCAAACTTAAAGATATAAAAACTACTTAATCTTACCGTTATCATTCGGACACTACTCATAACTTAGGGTAAATATATATAGGTTGCACATTTCCCAGAGGTTAGAAATACGTGTCTCTTTGTTTAGGTTAATAGTATATATAAAATGAACAAAAACAAACCCAAACAAAAATTAAATTAAAGACGCTCCAGGGCGCATTTTATATCTCATATTATAGCCTGTACCCTGGGGATCCTTTTCATTTATGCAGCGTCATCAATTAAATTTTTGTTTGGGTTTGTTTCGTTCATTAAATGTTATTTATCACACTGGTTTGGATTTGCTGTTTTTAACGCAGTCCTTCATTTTGATTTTATTTTGCTTGACTGTTTAAATATTAATTTTCTATACATATATATACACACATACATATATATATATAGTAAACAAAACAGCTTCAAAGCTATTATTATATTAATGACATTAGTTGTAAATAGACGATTAAAATCGGCACTTTAAAACAATAATGAAGTTAATATAAAATAAGCCTTAAAATTACTTTTATTTAAAATTCCATTACACTTTTCCAGTCGTAGCCTTAAAGTCATAACGTAAATTGTCTGTGGTGATAGCACCCGAAAGTGTTGGGGATATCCCATCTGTCAGACAAAATCCAAACGCAGATGGAAAACTAGTTAGCAGTGGTGGAAAATCAAATAAGGGTGCGGAGTTAAGTGCTTATACCCACCACAGACAATTTACGTTATGACTTTAAGGTTACGACTGGAAAATTGCAATGGAATTTTAAAATAAAAATAATTTTAAGGCTTAATTTA